ATCTAAACCAAACTGTGCTTCATTTGGGCACTCAGCATTCCTGTTTTTCATTTGGAATGAGATTGCCTTTGTCATTAACACTTGTAAGTGGTAGTGCCTGGTAAATGACAATGTCTTTGCCATCAGTCATAAAACAAAAGAACAACACTGCTGCTCCCAAAGGAGATTTGTTATTGACTTCCAAAAACCCAAGAAGGGACAAATTTATTCAGAAGAATACAAAAAAGCCAAATAAACCCAACACAATAATAATAATAATAATGACACTGGTTGCAAGTAATTGGTTTTTTTCCAGCAAATTTTATGATGCTTCTTGCTATTCTAGCAGCACCAGCATCATGAAGACACTGTGCACACATTCTCCCTCTGGCACACATAATCAGGGTGCTTTAATATGCAAATATTGTTTTTCATTCAGCCAGCAGCTTCTTGAAGCAATCACTGCCTCCTTAAGTGAAGTCTGTGAGTATTTCTGCAAGGAATTCACAACTGCAGAAAAGCAGAAGGGACAGAATTGAAAATTATAACAATGTACTTCAGTTTGCTTTTCATAATTATTTATCATGTTTAAACAACAAACAATCTCCTTCACATGTTCTCAGGTGCTGCCCAGCACACAGATGATGATTTCCATGCTGCATCTGGAAAAAAATTCACACCAATTCATGTGTGGCACATAAGTGCTCGTTAACACTTGTTGATCCTTGGTTAAAGAGATGCACTCTGCATCTTCAGTAGAAAATAACATGAGGCATCAGCAAGACCATGTAATGTGTCAAAAGCTGAATCAGGAAGCACTGAAGGGAAAAAAAACCTCCATCAGCTAAGTTTAAATTTGCTAATTAGCCAAGCAGATTGTTCAAGTGGTGAGCAGAACTGCTGGGGTTAGTGATGGGCACACAGGTTGGTGTGGGATGGGACAAAAACAAAGGTGGCAGGAATGTAAAGGCCTCTTCTGTATCCATCAAAACAAAATCCAGAAGCCTAAAAGTAACTGAATATCACAGAATCATGGAATGGTTTTGGATGGAAGGGAGCTTAAAGATCATCCCATCCAAGCCCTGTCATGGCAGGGCCACCTCCCACTGTCCCAGGTGCTCCCAGCCCCAATGTCCAGCCTGGCCTTGGGCACTGCCAGGGATCCAGGGGCAGCCCCAGCTGCTCTGGCAATTCCATCCCAGCCCCTGCCCACCCTGCCAGGGAACAATTCCTGCCCCAGATCCCAAGATCCAGCCCTGCCCTCTGCCCCTGGCAGCCATTCCCTGGCTCCTGGCCCTGCAGCCCTTGGCAATTGTCTCTCTGCAGCTTTCCTGGGGCTCCTTCAGGCCCTGCAAGGCCACCCTGAGCTCAGCCCAAAGCTTCTCCTGGCCAGGCTGAACAAGGGCAGCTGGGCCAGCCTTTGCTGCCAGCAGAGCTGCTCCATCCCTCTGCTCATCCTGGAGCCTCCTCTGGGCTCTCTCCAGCAGCTCCAGCTGCTCCCTGGGCTGGGACCCCACTACAACAACATCATGTGTCCAAAACACCAGCTCCAGGAGAGATATTTCTGTCACAAACCAATGACCAGAGATTTTAATGTGCTTTTCCTGCAGTACCCTTTAGATCAGCAAAATGACAATACTTTTTAAAATAAGCCAGCATCCCTGGCCATGTCCTGTCACCTCCCAGTTTTCAAGTGGTGAAAGCAGGGCTTGGGAAGGGGGCACAGATGACAGAGGGAAGGGACTGATCTCTGCTCCAGCCAAGCATCACTTCAGTGAAAAAGCCACTTTCCTTTGCTGGGGCAGCCACCTTTAAAATTCTTAACACACTTGGGTTTTCCCCCTGGGAAATCAGGGACAGTGATAGAGTTTTAAATTGCATTCTGCCACTTCTGAACTATCACGCCACGCTGATCCTTTCTGCTTGTGTTAAGGTGAATTGGATTTAAAAACAAAGGGAAAACCATTACAGGAGTAGCAGAGCTGGGTCAATAGCCAGCAGAAGGAGCATTAAACCATCAGGCTTCTCTTTGAGAATATCTGCTGAACTCCTGAATGGCTGCATGAACTCCAGCAGCCAAGTGACCTTTCCTGGTGACCTGGCTGGTGGAACTACTAAATTGGGCAAAAATCAGGGCTTTGCTGAGAGCTCTGCTTTCTGCTGTCAAGGAGGAAGAAAAATGTTTAACTGTCCCTACACCCAGAGAAGTGGTAAAAGGATCAAGAATGGAGAGGCTGCTGTTCTTCAACAGAACTGGGAACTCAAAGCCATTGTCCATAAAGCAGGGGTACAAATGTTTGCATGCAACACTGCAAATAAACCTGCAATTCCTACTCCTCTTTGTCAAACAGGTTCAAGAAAGCCACATCTGCAGCCATAAAAGTAAGAGTTACATCTGTAATTTGCACAAATTATTTTAGGTGGTCCCACTGTGGAGATTATTTCTCTGATGTAGACTAGAGGAAATCCAGATTTAGGAAAAAAGAATATTGTGCCTCAAAGAAACCACAACAGGTCATAAAAACCAAGTGATAATGTGGTATTTCCCTTTCAAAAATTACATGAAAGTTAATCACAACAATTACTACAGCAAACCATTTATTTTTTAGTTAGAACATCAGAAAAACTTGCACACATTTGTTTTAGAGAACTTAGTAATGAGTTCTATGTAACAGAAATATTTATTGTCAGGAAAATTTTTAGAACATCCAGAAGAGCAGAAAATGTCAAACATGGGATTAGTCTTCAAAAATAATGAGAAAAAAAATTCTGAATTACTGAAGTCCTATCAGTCTGATCTTGGCAATGCACAAAATAATAATGATAATAAAAAAATAAATTAGTGAAGCTTAATGAAATAAATTAAAAGGATAATTGAGGCCAATCACTACAGACCTGTGGTGAAGCAGCCATGTCAAACAAAGTGGATTTTTAAAAATCAGATTAAAATTTGCTGAGAATGAATGACATTGAAAAAAACTCTCACACTGTGATCTAACAGTCAAGATCATATTTATGTTTCTCTAAAACAAAGTTTTGGTGACTCAAAGTATTTTAAAAGAAAGTCGCATGATGCAAAAATTAACACAGCAGCCATTTTATGTGGATTTCAACACATTCAAACCCCAATTTCAAGCAGAGAATCATTATTCAGTATTTTTTGTCTGAAACATTTATCAGTGGTATAGAGTAAATAATATCTGATAAAAGTTTAAAAACTACACAAGAACTTGGTAGCTAAAATATAAAGAAAATACCAGATCACTAAGAAAATAACCTGGATCATAAGGTTGTACATTGAGAACACAAAGCAGGGCTGTACAACAGGGAATATTTTCTATTTTGTAGAGAAATCAAAGAACTGGCAAATGATCTCAATGGATAAAATGTTAAGGATATAAATTATGGGAAAATAACAGAGGAAAATAAGAATATATTAATCTGTTTCATTTACCAATTAAATCATTAAGAAATTACTTGGTTAGCACCATGTGGAAAGAATATCCTTGGAGACTGAAAATGATGCAAAAAAGAACTTCTGTACTGTAGAGAAGTAAAACAGGACCAGATGGGATGTCGAGCTGTAGTGTGACAAATTCAGCTAAGTGAGACACAACTTTTACAGAAATGGTAGTTAAATACTGATTTCTTTTATCAAAAGTACTGATGAAATCTTTTCCACTGCCTCTGTTTAAATGAAGCTCTGATAATTTTCTAAATTCCTCATTTCTGAAAGGAAATAGTTCAGAGAAATTTTATGTTATGCAAAAGGCATCCTGGTCAGTGATCATCAGCCTTCCTCAAGGGACTCCAACTCAAGTTTCTATGAATACTTGTAAATGAACCATGAAAAAATAATGTGCACAGACATCATTTTCTAGAGCCAAAGGGCTGGAGATACCCTGCTCATTACTGGATGGAATCCCACGGTATTTCTAAGAAGATATGATAACACCTTCTTTTTCTTTAGCACATTTTTTTTAATGAAAAAAAGACACAAACTGGGAAGGTAAATGGGGTATAAGGTTTTGAAGAAAAAGTGATTATACAGGCTGAAGCATCCAGATGTCCTGATTTCCAGGGCTGTGTATGAACCATAATGATGGTTTCTTCCTTTATATATGAATTTACCCATGCCCTCTGTCTTTTTTTTTTTATATCCAAAATGTTGCTACAAAGGACAAAATTTGACCCAAAAGAGAGATAATATGAAAGTCAGAAGGAAAACATAGGGTTGGCCCTGGTTTTATTAGGAACCATGATCACATTTTGGATAAAATACAAATAACTAATCAATTTGGTGGCTTCTGGAAGAAATTAGGCTTATTTTTTTTCAGATGATAAATTGTTCTACTATTAATTCAGGTTTGGATTTGAAATGTTTTTTTCCCAAATACCTTCTGGGAATACCTTCCCAAAATACCTTTTGCCAGTGCAAAAGCTATAGGGCAGCAGTGTCAGACTGCAAGGGTCAAAACCTTGGCTGTGGCTCAGCCAGGGGTTTTTGCTAGAAAAATAATAAAGCTGAATGAATTCACAGATCTAAATCTTATTCACATAACAAACAACTGAATTTGAATAAGGATTAGAGGAAAATACAGATCAGTGACAATGAAAGGTCACTGAACAGTGAAGTGTTTTATGGGTTCCATTATAAAACATCATGGGGGAAAATGTGGTAACAAATCTGAGAATATCTGGCTGCTCTTTAATATCTGGCTACTTCCATTTTATAATTTGGAAATCATGGTTAGCATCTGCTGGAAAACTGAGATTTCCTCATCTTCAGAATATCTTATTTCATCCTTCAAAAAAAAAATAAAAATCCACTTTTGGGTCGTCAAGGGAAGCAAACAAACAACAAAAAAAGGAAAGCAAACCAATGAGAAATATTTTCCTTTCCTCCATGAAAAATAGTAACAATGGATATATTAATCTTTCTTTTTTTTTTTTCCAGGAAAATGATCCCAGCTGGGGATTGCACGCTTTGGTCACGTGCAGCCCCACTTGTATTTTCATGTTCAGGTAGAGAGAAGTTCCACAAACACCACCTTACCTCGCAGCCTCTTCAGCCTCTGCTCCCTCCTCCTCCTCCTCACGATCAGCAGCATCACAAAGAGCAGCAAGACCCCAACCAAGATACAGGAGATGGTCACCAGCATCTTCAGCCCTTCGTTGGTTCCCAGCCCTTCCTCGCTCTGCACCACCGACTTGATGAGAGGAGGGATTGTACCTGGAAACGGGGTCATGGCATTAGAGGCCTGTTAACCAGGACAAAAGATGGAATTCTCACGGAATAAGGCACGTTTTCTCTTCAGCTGTGGGCAGAACACTCACCAGGACTTCTCTGTTTGGGTTGGAGGCTATTTGTGAATACATAACCAGGCTCCTGGTAATGAGGGACTGACTGCAGAGACAGAGATTATCAGAAATCCAGAAGAATTGCATTCATTGATTAAGGAAAACCATACCTGATATGCAGTCAAATACTGTGATTAATTTTGAGTCCGATTAAATTATTCAAAAAGCTGTAAGAGACCTCAGAATCCCTCCCTCTGTCTATTATTCCTTATTATGGAGAAATAGGATCACTGTGACATTTCTGCTGGGCTTTTCTTTGCAAGGAACTCATTTGACAAAGCTCATTTTGTGCCACATACATCAGATTAATCCTTTGCACAGAAACATTCTGCTATCAATTCTGAAGTGATAGTGATCTGAAATTCAGACAGCCAACCTGATACTAATCTGCTAAAGACTGTCTGACATTATACTCATCAGTAAAACAGGGGAGTAATGCTGGATAGAAACAATCAAATTTTGAGAGGGAAACAAGGGAAATGAATCTACCAACTACTGGCAGGCAGCTCACTTTTTCATTCTGGGACATATTTGCATTTTGAATATACCTGGCTTCCTGGTGATATATAATACTTGAACTTTTCAATTCTTTTCTTCTTTACCTCTAAGGGACGTGAGAAGAATGCAGCACCTTCTGTGGAAGGCTGTTTAGTCATGGAAGACTTCTCACTCATTTCCTGATTACTATTAAACTGCTGAATGCAACCACAAATGAGGCTATAAAATGAAGATTTGCTTGAAATGCGTAGAAACACATAAGTATTGTGAACTGTGATGACTTTGGATGGAAGCTATTAAATTTTAACCAGCTACTGAAACATAAAAGTGGCTACTCACTTGCTAAAAAGAAAGGAGGGTGAGAGAGAAAAACAGGCACATCCTTCTTTTACATTTTAATTGCTGCATTAAGTGATGTAGTAATATCTCATTATGTGCTATACAGTATCAGAATAAAAAACTGAGATCTGATGCAGTACAATGTGAGTACCATAACCACAGTGAAAATGTAGAATCCTAGGTCCTGCTTTTTTCAGAAGAGCTATTTCAGCTGCATATAAAGAGAAGAGCAGCTCCCTAAAGGGACAAAGATAAAAAGAACAGCTACAACTATCCAAACCTATATTAGGTACTTTGGAAAATTTGTTTTCTTACAATTGCATTTGGAATATTTTTCTAATGTTCCATTGCAGTTCTTCCCCATAATTTTCTTTTTTTTTTTTTTTCTAATTTTCTATTTCTTGAGCACACAGCAGGATATTTTCATCTTGCCCTGAGACGCAGATTTTGCACTACTCTAAAGGCAAATAAAACTATAAGATGAGGAAATGAAAAGAACTTCAAGCTCCTGAAGGTAATACCAATAACTGTCTCTAAATCCTCCTAAACCCTCCTGGATACTAAAGGGCCAAAGTTTCCTCTGAATTACTGTCACAGAGACCATTAGGTTCAAGATTGCCTAAAATTATGTCTTGCTTTCCTTAATACTTTGATGAAAATCAAATGATGAGTGGCCTTTATTTCACTTAAACCTGAAGTGTTTGGATATGTGATTATCATTATCCAGACCTCTCTCTAGGCAAATATAAACCTCATAGCATTATAAACAGGCAGTTGGAGCTTAATTAAAAAATCAAACTGCATGTTTTGCCATCACCCATTTGTTGCTTTTCAGCAATTGCATTAGAAATTACCAAAACTCAATGCTGCTATCCATTGAGAAAACGCCATTTCAACACTTGTTGACACTCTAGGCGCTGGCTGGGAGTGGAATAGACAAAGTTAATTTTCAGGACTAGATCCCAGATGGATGGGGAGGGTTTGTTTTGCTTTCCAGGCTGGTTCACCATCACCCTTTGTTAGCCTGATTAGTGCCTCACAGGAGTTGCAATCTGAATATCTCTGACCCCTTTTTCCCCTTGGTTTCAGCATCTCCCACTGCAGAACAAAGTGTTTCCTCTGCCACTGCTGAATTCTGGAGTGTTTTGCTGTGTCCTTCACGGCAGGGAGTGCCTGCCTGGGTCAGAATCAATTAGCAGAGTTTAGAGCTGATCCGATTTAATGCCAGGGCTACCGAGGAGCTGATCCCTGAGCCGGGAAGCTCCTTTGCAGCTCCACAACTGCAGCTGCACAGGGCTAAAAATATCTCCTTATGGATTGTGTGCTTCTGAAAAAACAAGGGGCAGGGAGGTCAGCAAACCTGTAAGCTGGAAATCGTTCCTGAAATGCCCACAAACAGAGAGCAAAAAGCTGCACGTAGGTTTGTCATTAACCTTCTGACCTAATTCAGCACGGAGAGATTTGAAGGGAAGGATGCTGAGCCATGATATTCCTCAGGAGCAGCAAAGTGACCCAAACCCACGTAACTGGGATTTCTGCAAACTTTACAAAGGCTTTATCTTAAGGCTGTTAAAGCTTCTAAGCTTGTTCTTAGCATTTGGCATCCCAGAACTTTCATACACTGTATTATCTAATCTTCAAAGTGCTGCTCTTGTATCTGCTTTATCCGAGGGGCAGCTGTGGCCCCTGGAAGCTGGAAGGGGCTAATCTCACACCACAGGGTGAATCAAATGTAGATGTAGCAACAGCACTCAAAAGAGGAGCTGGCCAGGAAGTTTCCACTGGCATATTTTCTGCACACAAAAAATTCCCTGTCTGTGGAAGCAAAAATTTCTGCATCATGTACTGGTAAGAATGCTAATAATGATAATCATCATCATCAATTTATAATTTCAGTTCTGAGTCAAACATAGCAAATCTAGAAAACCTGAAAACTGAATTTTGCTTTTCCATCCATGTTTTCCTCTCATAACCTTGGGGTCAGTATTTGAGCTCGTTCTGCCTCTCTAAGGCACAATACAGTCCTAGCAAAGCATGCTTCACAAACAAACCCAGCAGTATCACAAATGAGAAATTTTCTAGCTAACCAGAAGCAGTGGCAAGAAATTTAATGCTGCAAATATTTTTTACTGTTTCATTTTATCCCTTCTAAAGATGCTATACAGCAACATAAAAAAATCAAAGGGTGTGCAGGTCACAGTGTGGCACCAGGGTAAGTATCATCACCCAGTCACAGAGCAGAGCCTGACACCATTTCAGATCAGATCACTGTAAGAATAGCTTTGATTTGAGTGCTATGAGCAGAAATTGAAGGCTCTGGACTTGCATTTTGATATAAATTCATTTTAAGGTATGGCTTACAACTGTTTGCCCCAATCAAATAAAATATGATGATAACAGAAAACTGAAAGTTGGATGCTGCTGTAGAAAGATATTGGAAAACAAAACAAAAACAGGACAGGCCAAGTAAAATAGCAAGAAATTAACTCATTATAGTTGAAAGAGTTATTATTGACAACAGCTACACTTCTCAGTAAAATAGCTCTTCATCTGCCTGGAAAGACCCGAAACATTTGTGTAGTAACTGCTTAGATCCTGTTTTCCTGTGGGCCTCTGGAGTGCTGAGGCAATATCTTTCTCTTAATTTTCCAGCCTGTCTGAAATAACACGAGGACTTGCGTGGCAGCTTACCAAAAATGATATTTTTCCAAAGGGTGAGGGTATGTGTGATTAATTATCTGCAAGAACTGCTGAGTACCCAGCACAAAGGCTGGTAGAGAAGTAGAGGATGTGTCAGGTGCTGAGGTTTAAACTCTGCCTAAGTCGTATCCCACATTTCTGCCTGGGAATGACCCTGAACTGTACATGAGTGGTGATGTTCGTGTGGAGGCGTGTTACCAGCACAGTGTTACAAAAAATTACCAATTTGGTGCTGTCACAACCATCAGCTCCTGTTTGAACTTGCTCACCAGTGCTGGAGCTTAATTTAACACTACAGAACAACATCCCTGGCAACACAGCAAGATTTTACACTGGATGTCTCCAGAAAAGCTCTGGCAATTCCCACTGGAGCAATTCAAGAGCCTGCCATCTGGAGCCATCTGTGCTGCCTTTTTGCCAGGAACGCAGCAGCCGCTCCCCGCTGCGGAGCCACCGGGAGCACACGTGTGCCACCATCCCTCCCAATCAGCCTGGCAGGACCTGAGCTGCAGACAGTGACAAACTGGCACCTTTGCTCCTGCCCTCGTGTCCTGGGTTTTGCAGGGTGGGCAGCAACCCCTGGCAGAAGGGCGGGATGCAACAACTCATGGTGCATGTCCTGCTGCTGGGCAGGACAGAGCCATCTGTCATGGCCATTAGTTTCACTGTCCCCTGTCTGTAAGCAGGGATCATTGCACTGCCATTGCTCTGCCCTTGGAGGATGTTATCCAGAGGCTTTCCCAGAGGACAACCTGCTTGGCTGCTCCAATGTGTCCCGTAATGGGTTTTGGGTTGTGGGAACAGCAACGAGGCCTGACACCCCTGTGAATGGCTGCAGGAACACATTCCATGGAAGACTGAAATTTCATGGAAAAGATACATTAAATACCAGGAAAGGCCCCTGTAACCACTGGAACTAATGACTTTTAATGTCCTATGATTATGTGTCTTATGGCTGATTGACTTCAGAGTTTTTTCGAAGTGGGGACAAATAAACAATTCCTCTTTTCTGCCTGGCAGCCTACTGTCAGGAAATGAAGAGCTATTTTATACCTTCGAGACTTTAACCTCTCTGACAGCATGGCTGGCAGATTCAAAATGGGGTTTATGAGGGGAAAAAATGGAATATGACAAAAAGAAAAAAAATAATCACATATGAAACTAAAGTAAAAAAGTAACTGAGGCGTAAATTAAAGGGAATACTTACTGCCATCATAATTGAGCGTGGCGAATTTGGCTTGTTTCTCTGCACAGCCAGCACTGTTGCACACTCTCATTTGCAGCTCGTACCAGGTGGCCTCCTGGAGGTCGTAGAGGATGTAGGATTTGGACAGGGATGTCCTCTGGGCCGTTGTCCAGACCGTGGTCCCAAAGGGCCGGTACTCCAGGGTGAAGGAGGTGATGGGGCAGCCGCCGTCGTTCCAGCCGATCAGGTTCAGCCTCACCCGGGTGGTGTTGATGCTGGCAAAGAGCTCTTGCTCCTTGGAAAACTGTGGCTCTAGAGGCAGTGGGATATTCCAGACAAAATGCTTAAATATTGCAGATAAAACCTTCCAAAATATAAAGTTTAGGGAATAATTTCTAGGGCAGTCTCGACTCTGGCTTAAACTCGGTATCTACATATTCAACTTCCCACCCTTCGTCCTTTGAAATGTTTTTTCCCACTTTGTGCTGGACTCACAAACCCAGATTTTCATATCAATGTGTGGAAAAAAATATCCAAACATGGTTTGTTTTGCCTTGCAGAACTTTATGCAAACTTTGCCTTTATTTTTGACACTTATCTAGTTCAGAGGATGCTGCTTGCACACTCCTGCAGTACTGGCTTGCAGCAGAAATCAGACATTGGCTCCATTTCCTTTCTACATAAATATACTCCCTGTCTTCCTTCAGCATCCAGACCAATAAACCCCTGAATTTTTATAAGAAGAGAAGAGACAATTTCCTCATGGCAATGAAATAGTTGGAATTGCTATACTCTGTGACAGTGCAGGCATCGTCTTACCAAATATCTGCCAACCCATCTTAGAAAAAAATTATTAGAGAAAGAAAGAACATCAGCCTGTGCGGGCATCAAGTCCCACAGCCACAGCCTTTTTTGTCACAGCCATGGACAGAGCTGTAAATGTCTCCAAAGCCAGTAATACTAAAATATCCAAGGCTGTTTTAAAGCAAGACCTGCAGCAGAATGCAGGAGCTTTAGGAGGGTGAAGGGGAGGGAAGCAGCGCACCTTTGCCGAGCGTCTTGGCCTCGATGATCTCGCTGATGCGCCCCGGCCCCACCCCGTTCTGAGCAGTCAGGGTGAACTTGTACCAGGTGCCACATTTCAGGGTTTCCAGCCTGTAGGACCTCTCACTGGGGCTGATGGGGAAACTGCCCCACTGCTCACTGTTATCCTCTGAGTACTGCAGAATGTAACCTGGGGAGAAAGCACGGATGGCAACGGTGTCACAAATTCTTCAGGTAACCCAAGGAGGCATTTTAAAAACCCAATAAAACTGAAAAAAAAAATAAATAAATGTGCAGGGAAACGTACAGCATTCCCCTGACTGAAAGATACCAGGCAATGCATTTTGCCTACCCTGACAACAGCTTAACACATTTTATTATGATGCCTTCAAGGGGAAAAGGATGGATATTTCTAAGGACCCTTCAATCAGCAACAACCAGATGATAAACCTGGACCCTCCAAAATGAGTGGTTAGAGATTACACATCTGGAAAATCAGCTAGAGCAACTGTCATAACAGCTGAGGATAAAGTGATTAAATGTGTGAATAAACCACCACAAAGACAAACTGCAATTTACCGAAAGATGTTATCACAATGATAGTGCACATTAAGGGTTGACAGCAATACAGATTGGGTTGTTTTTCTTTTTTAAAAAATGTTTGGGGTTTTTTTTTTTTTGAGCCATTCATAATTGTTGATAGGATATCAACAATTATGTTGATATAGGATACTAATCCTATCAACATATGATAATTCAGAAAGAAGCAGCAATTAACCTGTTTTACATTACCTCGGATAGAACTGCCACCATTGTCTCCAGGTATCCAGGAAAGAGTGATAGAGGAAGATGTAGTTTTGGATACAGTGAGTCTTGGCTGGTCTGGTGGAACTAGATGGGAAATAGTTAAAAATAGAAAATGTAATCAAATGGTTTGACACGATCTTAATCACTTCTAACAGTCATTTATCAAATAGCTGTTATGAGTTGCAAAAAATGCAAATGATTTCTGTCAAAGTGTCTGTTTAGCTGACATCCTTGGTTAAGACAAGAACAGACAAGCTCTCCTTTTTTAAATTTAATTTTATGCACAATTTTGTCTTTCAATTCTAAACCTTTGTTTTTTTCTCTGATTTTTTTTGCATCTGTCCCGTTGGACCTCAACGGCACATGAGCTACCCAGACTTTAATTTTCATTATTTTGGTATCTGTTCTGGGGAGAAGACAAGATTTTAATGGCAGGAAACATGTGCTGTTGCAAATGATGCCCCACTCATTCCTGTGTTTGCAGGCTATTATGGCAAAAATGAAAAAAACCCCATGCAAATCAAGGGCTTCTGCAAGTTCAAAAGTGAGAGTTAATTAGGTATTATAGATAGATTTGTGACTGGAGGCAGATCCAGTCCTCTTCCAAACCACTGAAGTTTTTGGTATAAAGAATTCCCAACCCCATCAGCAAAGACTGGAAACACTTCTGTTCTGCTGCTGCCCATAAACTTCATGGGGGATGGAAGAGCGAGGTTCCGAGGACCAGCTGCTGACTGAGTGCAGGAATAAGACAGAGGTTTCAACTCTCATCCACTTCCCAGTTCCCAGCTTCCTTTGGGAGAAAATGATGGAGTAGTTTGGGTTGGAAAAGACCTTAAAGATCGTCTCAATCCAATCCACTCTCATGGGGAGGGACATCTTCCGCTATCCCAGATTGCTCTGTGCCCCATCTAGCCTGGCCTTGGACACTTCCAGGGATCCAGGAGCATCCACAACTTCTCTGGGAAACCTGTGCCAGGCCCTCACCACCCCCACTGGAGGAATTTCTTCCAGCATTGCAGGGCAGAGAAGGAGCCATGCCACATCCCAACATGCTGCACTGGACAGGGCAAACTGGGACTAGGAACTGACACAGGGAACTGGGACTGGAAATGCTCTGGGAAAGTTCTACTGTCAGAAACATGGACAAAATTGAGCTTTGCTGCCTCAAGAATAAGGAGTGAGGTATGGACAGTGTCCATGCTTGGAAAGGATCAAGAAACAGCAGCAAAGATGGGATGGAAATATGTGGAGGAGAGACAACAAGATGGCCACAGCTCCTCTGACATGGGAGAGAAGAAGGTGGTGGTGTCAGTGACCCATGCTGGCAGGAGCTGCCCTTGCCCTGACACACTCCCATGACCAGGCAGGACAGAAATCCAAAATGCTCTGCTGTGTCCAGCATTCTGCTGCCAGGGAACACTGTCTGCTTTGCCTATGCTTAAGGGACAGCTCTCCCTGCAGAGTGAAATTCCTCACTGCTGTTCCTGTTTGTGTCATCAGATTGCAGAATAATGGGTGCTGATATAAGGCAGAGTCTGATGGTTTCCAGCTATGGATTAGTTCAAAGAGAAGTTGATTCTTTTTGCCCTCACAGGGCCAAACAGGGCTGAAGAAAACAAAAGAGACAGTTTATACTCTAAAGGAAAATTCCCTTTGTGAGATGGATTTGTTCTCTTATTCTGAGTGACTTGGCTGATTCCATGGGGAGAGACTGCACACACTGCATTGGAAAAGATTTATTGTAAAAGCTTTCATCACAGCTTCACCCTATCTACAAAAAATGGTGGTCCCACATATTAAAAGCCACTCTTTGTCTGTCCCTTAGGGAAGTAACATTGATTTGCTTTTAGTAGCTGAAGTTCAATAAAAGCAAATATATGCAATTACAGAAGTACTTAGTGAAATGTAAGGTTTCCATTTGATGGTGTTTTCTCTCCCTACTTCCTGTTGTGATCATGCTTCAAACATTGCAGAAAAGCACCTTTAGTTTCTGTTGGATTGTAGGGAAGCTGATCTACGCCAATATCTGCCATGATGTTTGTTCCAAGGCTTAGGGGAATGGTTTATGCAGGGAGAGAGGGGGACTGCAGTGGAAACAACCTCTCTCTGTGCTCTCATGTGCTTGCACTTGAAGTTTAAATTCCACATCCAGGACAGTGATGGTCCACTCTGGTAGAATAACTTGCAGTCAACTGAAGCATTTGTAGGATCTGCTTTAGTGCAAATGAGCAAGGAAATTTGCACAGGGAATTCTTCGTATGTAAATACACAGGCTCTGCTTCATTTTACTCTTAGTTTATATTCTTATATTGTCCCTGCTTTTGTATGTATCAACACCATCCTGGATGCACTTTGTGCTTTTCAACATGAATATAAAATGTAGCTGGAGAAATGCATTAGCTGAAGGGGTACTGATGTTTCATTTCCAATGCTTCCTCATATTCACCTCGTAATAAAATTCTGCGCCCGCATAATGAAGTTTTTGTGCAAGGTCTCAGTACAGAGGCAAATTTCTGCTGATAGCTTTCCAGGAGCTAAATTAAAGGCCTTCACATCTTTCTGAATTTTGTAACATTAAAATGATACATGTGATGTTTGTAAGGAGAAGGCAGAAGCTGATACTTTCTGTGTGAAGAACTAGAAGATAACGGAACGCAAACACACAGTTGTCAATCTTACAAAAACTCACACAGAGGCTTACCTGAGTATGTGAATTGTTTCACCAGAAGCACCACCTTCTAGATCATAAAATGCCCATGCCTGACTCAGAATGACTTATGTATTAATTTGGAAGAATCAGATTTGCACTAATACACATAAATACTAATATTTTGCATTTCAAACAGACACACCTCTGCATTACCAGCAGCACTTTAAAGCCATGGTAACAATTCCGAGGTAGATCCAGCAGCCTTACCTTGTACCTGCAAATTCAGAATGATTTCATCTGATCCCCAGTTGTTGCTGGCCACACAGCTGTAGTACCCAGAGTCTTCTGCTTTCACAGTCCTGATGACGAAGCTGCCGTTGCTGAAGATGCTCCTTCGCCCATCAATCATCACTAGACTGGGTGTCCCGTTACTGCCTCACAGGAAACAAAGTGCATACATTAAAGAAGTTACAATCAAAATTACTCACAAGTGGATTTTTTTTTTTTGAAGCAGCTAAGGATGGAAAGAGAAAGAAAGGTGTGGGGCGAGGTGTGTCCCTTCAATAAGGCAGCAAAGGAGGATTTTCTGTTGGGAAACACCTATGATTTACTTAAAATTGCATTTTTTATGTGCATTTGGACCTAGTGTGAGTGAAAACAGAAATTCACTCCTTCCTTGTCATTTCATAAAAATGCTGAAACAAGGGAATAGGTGGTTCCTGGCTTTGGAGTTCATCCTTATGAAATCATAGGTATTTATATCAATGCACAAGATTGTTTCATAGCACTGTGGCTTCCCTGCTTACACAGTGCTTGCATGAAAATTACTGTCCATGTGTGTTTCCAAGTGGCTCTGTCAGACTGTGAAACTAAAGCTGAAAACAGAATAATGGAAAATTAAATATGTGCAAGATATTTACTGCCCACCTCAGCACAAATCACTGTATCAGGCACTTTGCTCTCTCCAAATAAAACTTTCCTGTCTGCCTGAGGATAAAACAAAAACCCTCCTAAGTTTTACATTTTGAATGTTTACCTTTAGCCCTTCTTCATTATTTTTTCTCCCTTTGATGCCCTGTAATCAGCACAGCCAATCAGCTGAAGGAGTTTCTGAACTCCTCATCTACTGTGACCACGTGCAAATCACCACGAACAGTCCTTCTCCTTCCTGCCAGTGACCCAGCACCACAACCCTCAGGATTTTAAAGGAAATGGGATTTATCTGAGCTGTACATTTAGTTGCTGGTTACCTATCCTTCATCCATTTGACTGTTGGAGCCGGGTCCCCCACGGCTTTGCAAGGGAGGACAATGTCCTTCATCCAGGGCGTTGTCACCGTCCCGCTGAACGTCAGGATCCTGGCAGGAGCTGGGAGGGAGAGAGCAAGAGAGACTGAAGTGAGGTGTCTGTTCATACAGCCCTTGGAAGGGACATAGAGACACCCACAATTAAAGGGGGAAAACCAAACCAATCTAAAAATGGTGTTTTTCGGGTACTAATTCCTTTTAACTCATAATATTTGCTATTTATTCAAGCAAAATATCAGTTTCAGTACCTGGAAGACAAGTAACTAAAAGAGAGATGAGGCCAGGGATGGGAAGAGTCTTTGTAGAAGAAAAAGAGCAAACCCAGTTATTTATCATCTTTACTGGCTTTTATATATTTTGGAGTAGAAATTATGGATGAAAATTATGTCCAAGGGATGCTTCTCTCAACACTTCCAGCAAGAATTGTCCACAGTAGACAAGAGTCTTACAAAAACTAAATTAGTGGTACATCTCTCCTACAACAATTTTTATATTCAGTATAATAAACCTTCATGTATATTAATACATTGTAGAGTCTATCTGAAATTCACAAATGTGAAAAAAACTAAAATCAGGTTTTATCAGCTCTCAGGTCACCTAAATACATTAAAAAAATATCACTAGTGTATTTTCAGTTTATAGGTTGTGTTGGAACTTCATTTGTTATTCCTCAAGAATGACCCTTGATAGAAATAGACTTTCTGTTGGCCTCTAAATATACATTTTAAAGGCACATCCTGAATACAGATAGACAAAATACTGTATTTTTAGTCCTGATCTACTTCAGTCGTGCACACCGATCAGAATTTATACTTAATAATCCATTTTGCACCAATTAGGAAAACATGAAAAAGAGACTTGGCATCAAATATAACTGGGACAGTTAATCTGGAAAAAGATTCATGCATAAAAGAACAGGCCTTGAAAAATTAAGCAAAATTACTTGAGTAGGCTGCAATGGGACTTGAGATATGCACAAAAAGAAAAGATTTCACAGATTATACAATCAGTTTGGACTGTGTTGCCTATGTTCTCTTCAAGCACTGTTGAAAGCCAAGCTTCTCAAGAGATTTTTTTTTTTTCCCTCTGGTCAAAATTTTAATTAAAACACAAGATTTAGGTAACAAAGTGAAGGGGTAATGGGACAGCACTACTTTCCTAACAGCCAAGCATCAACATGTCCTGTCCTGGCTAAAGGGCAGCTGGAGATGTCCTGGCTAAAGGGCAGCTGGAGATGCCTGGCTCCCTCCTTCCAGAGCTCTGGTGTTTCACCCTGCCAGGACAGGGCTGTGCTTTGTGCTGCCCTGGGGAGGAGGTTGGACACCAGAGTGATGCAAAGACCCTGGGCAGTCAGAAGCTCTCATGGATCAGACTGGTTTTCCACCTGGGCACTCCTAAGATAACATTTCCTAGAAATGACTTAGACAGGGCTGCCACAAGCCAGCTGTGTTGGGTTTGGATGGCCAGGTTCTGGTAATGAGCAGGTTACAGCTCACCAGAAGCTTCCCCCACGTCAGCAGATGTGATGAACTGCTTGTAACCCCTATTCCCATCTTCCTGTGCTGCTGGGGAGGAGGGAGGGGTGTGGAAAAGGTGTTTTAAAGATTTAGTTTTTCTTCTCATTATTTTATTGTTTCATTTATTATTGCTTTTTATTTATTATATTATTGTAATTATTTATTATTGCTCTGATTTTGTTGGCAATAAATTCAATTAATATCTCTGATTTGAGTCTGTGCTACCCATGACAGTACTCTGTGAGTGGTCTCTGTGCTCAACTTATGAACCTTTGTTACATTTTCCCTCCCCTGCCCAGCTGCAGAGGGGAGGGATAGAGAAGCTCTGGTGGGTGTCTGGCACCCAGCCTCCTCAACCCACCACACCATGGGCTAATTAACCAAAGTAACTCAAGCAGAAAAATGCTCAGAGCACCCAGAGACACAGAGTGAAATGCTGACTCTGCTGAAGTTGGTGTGAGAAATCACATTTGTCTTCAGTGGTGCCAGGTTTTGCTGAAGGAGGCACTTGGTGGCTCTCATGCCATCTTTGAAAAGCAGCAGGAGATGCTGTCAGCTACATCTACAAAACATCTGTGAGCATCTGGACTGCTCAGATTCCTGTCCCGTGCAAAATTCCCTCTGCAACATGAAGTCTGAAAACTCATTTAGAATTGACTATTAATCATTTTCTCCATGGCCTTCCCATATTTGCAGTGGGAAATTTCAGTTTCTTGAAATATCCAGCTACTCCCAACTATTGCCAGCTCCTGTAGGACAAAACATGTGGAACACAGGAATCCTGCTGAGGCATGGCACCACTGTTAGCAAATTTTCTGTGTGATCTCTTTGTTTTTAATAGTTATTTCAACGTGAATTCTTCCTTAAGAAGTCATAGGCTGGACATCAGATGTTGAAAGTGCAACATTTATGTTGTAGCTCCTGGTTTTCAATATCCTGTATCCCTCATTTTATTGAAATGTGTGGAAGTAACATAAATCTCACAGGAGCCTAAGCCACTGGTAAGATGATAGACCATGACTCAGAAAATTATCAGAAAAGCACACTGCACTATTTTTGTGAAAATATCCACAGCTTTCTATGGATTTTCTTATTCCTTCCATGTACTGAGTGCTTTAAAAGAAATGGTAAAACAGCAGGAAATTTTTCAAGCCCAATTTTCTTTACAGCTGAACTTCAAATGATGTCCTGAGACTGCTAAAAGGTGCACAAAGAAAACCAGAAACAAAATAAATGTCAAGTGAAATCCACCTCAGAGCAATAGGTTTGAAATTCTAGCAGGCATTCATGAGGTAAAAAAGCCTAGAAGCTCACAGACCTCTTTTTTTTGAGCCATGGGAATTTTTGGAATCATATGGGTTTATTTCTTTGTTATCAAAGCTACCCACATGCCTACCCACCTCCCTTCAGCCTTACATTTGATGGCATGGCACTGCATTAGAGCTGTGTCTGTTCCTATTTTTTTTTACAAATCACCCAATAATTAATTGAAGATAAAGAGGTTCCTTCACAGAACAGTGCACTCTCTTATGATAATGCAGTTTTCTGCATGTTTGTTTGTTTAAATTACAAATCCTCTATCCTACATTTACTGTCACAGAAATAGAAATGGGCGGAAATTCTTTGCAGGAGGTTGTAACACACATGGGTTTTTCTTCCTCTGGAGGACACAGCTGTGTTTTAAAGGTGAGCTTCAGAAGGAAACTGAACAAGGGCTGTGACAATTCACTGCAGTTCAGCTTGAAACAAATAAAAGATCCAATGGTGAATATCCTAGGTCAGGAGATTCTTTCATTTAATTTCTCACAGAAAAGGGTGGGCAGGCTCTGGCACAGGGTGCCCAGAGCAGCTGGGGCTGCCCCTGGATCCCTGGCAGTGCCCAAGGCCAGGCTTGACATTGGGAGCAGCTGGGACAGTGGGAGGTGTCCCTGCCATGGCTGGGGTGGCACTGGATGATTTTTAAAGTGCCTTCCAACCCAACCCATTCCACGATTCTCTGTGTCTAATATCCCCTGTATTCCAGTCTGATGAACCATCAAAGAAACAGAGCAGTGTGCAAAGTCACGTGAACCCCACATGTTATTTAAAAACATTAAACACCCAAAGCAACATAGACTAGGGGGGAATCTGTTCATAATAAATGCTCAGGTAGTTTAGAAAACCAGGGGAAACTCCAAAGTCCAAGAGTTGTCCCCAGAGGATCAGATTGCCAGGGGTCTGGATCTATTATCGTCACACTGGCAGCAAATGCCATTCCCCATCAGTCATGGTCAGTAAATCAGAGGGACAAGTGCATGCAAGGCTTTTTGTCTTCTGACTATCCTTGATAGGCTAAACCCACTTCTTTCAAGTCAGCAGTGAAGAGTAATTTGAGGGGCAGGAGCACAGCTTGCTTACGTGGATGCTGAACTTTCATTGCCATGATTATTTTCTGTTTGTTGGGGATTTTTTTTTATTATTTCTGTCAGTTAATTACAGAGAATAACAATCTGTTCTGAGAAATGAAGACACTAAAGAAAGAAAGAAATGTTAACTTGAATTAAGCTTTCATTTAAATTGGACTATCCATTTCACATCAAACCCCTATCTAGACATTCTCATTGTTCTCAAAGGAGTTCTTAAAGGGGTTATAATTAAGTTGACATAATTCAATTCAAAGTTAACTCTTATTAGCTGTCATGATGGTATCATTACTTGGACAGTTACTGTGCAGTAAGAGAAGCAAAAAAAAAGGAAGCAAACAACTACAAAATAATGGCCCACAGGATGTTTTTGCATTGGGAACTTATAGCAAAATCAGGATTTAACTGCTTCTAACCCCGGGATGTGCTGTTTTGCCACAGATATAGTGGGGGGTGAAAAAGGTCTTTGAGGCTTTGAGCTCTGCCCATCCTTCCTCATTGTGCAGCTACTGCCCTCAGCACTGATCACCACTTTCTCCCAGCTCCCTAAAAAGCCCTGTGATGCATTCAGAAAGGAAATTTTTGTATGTGATACAATAATTTCTAACTGAGCTACATCCAAAGTTCATAAAATTGCTATCTATCAGTATTCCTAGCACCCATCAAACCCTTCACAAATGGATTATTCATTACTTTTACAGTCCTAAGTGCATGTAAGAGGCTTTTCTTGAGCATCATCTAATGCAGACTTTATATTGGAGTATCACTACAAACTCTGAGGTTGACTGGATGAATTCTACTGTCCTTTGAAATAAAGTCTTTTTCAGACTGACCTGTCTATATTGAAGTAATTAATTATTTTTTCTTTTAAGTCATCTTGCCTTTTCATAAAAGTTATTTTTAAGTTCACTTATTTGTCATCATGGATTATGTTACATAAGCTTCAGAGGAGCAGAATTAATTCTGGTAAGCTGGATCAGTTTAAGTACATGTGGGTCAAGTTGCAACTTCTCAATTTTTGGCAAACAGAGCAATTGCACACTGCAATTCCTCATAACTTGAGGTCATGAATATTGGTGCCTGCAAAGCCTGAATTGATCCATGTTCATCTTTGAACATTTCCCTCTTTTTAAAATCCATAGGGCAGGGAGAAAGAGAATTTCTAGTGCTTTCTGTTCAGGGCTTGCCTGCAGCCTTCATCTGTTGGTATTGCACCATGCCTAACAATTTTTGCTCTTATTCAAGCATCTATTTAAATGCTTTTCTTTTGGTTTGCTTTTATCTTTTCACCACCTCACATTGATTACACACAAATGACAGCAAAAAAAAAAAAAAAAAAGCACACTGAAACCTTTGCCCTTTTTCCCTGAGTTCTTCTTTCTTGATCTCCCTTCACTGCTGTCCTTTACACTCCTCATCCCCCTTTTAGGATCTCAGCTTTGGGTCTCACTGATGTCCATAATGCAGTGTGCACTTACAATGCTACAATGGAAAAACTCCAGACTTCTCAGATCTGAAGAACCCTTCTCCACTCTGGGAAACTGTCATGTGTTCAAACAGTACCCTCCAAAATCAGCAATACCATCCACAATGATCATAGAATCCTAGAAGGGTTGGGTTGGAAAGAAGGTTAAAGATCACATAGTTCCAACCCCCTGCCATGGCAGGGACACCTCCCACTGTCCCAGGAGCTCCCAATGTCCAGCCTGGCCTTGGGCACTGCCAGGGATCCAGGGACAGCCCCAGCTGCTCTGGCAATTCCATCCCAGCCCCTGCCCACCCTGCCAGGGAACAATTCCTGCCCAAGACCCCAAGATCCAGCCCTGCCCTCTGCCCCTGGCAGCCATTCCCTGGCTCCTGGCCCTGCAGCCCTTGGCAATTGTCTCTCTGCAGCTTTCCTGGGGCTCCTTCAGGCCCTGCAAGGCCACCCTGAGCTCAGCCCAAAGCTTCTCCTGGCCAGGCTGAACAATGGCAGCTGGGCCAGCCTTTGCTGCCAGCAGAGCTGCTCCATCCCTCTGCTCATCCTGGAGCCTCCTCTGGGCTCTCTCCAGCAGCTCCAGCTGCTCCCTGGGCTGGGCCCCAGGGCTGGGGCAGCTCTGCAGGTGGGGTCTCACCTGAACAGGGCACAGGGACACAATCCCCTCCCTCATCCCTCTTTCTAAACTTCTTTTGATGCAGCCCAGGGTAACAGCTCTGATGTTAATGTACCATCATTAAAGGTAGGAACAGAGAGATTTCCCATGGTGATGGAGTTTGCTCTTCCATGCAGAAAGTACTTTCATGTCGGTGGCACTGGGCTGAAGTTCAGCAAAGCCTTTTCAGAAAGAACCTGTCATCATAATGCACTAGGACACTTTATTTTACATCTTTACATCATTAAACATCCTAGTGAAGACTTAGCAGGCTTGTAAAACTGCAAAGCCAATTGAATGTATCTAATTTTGCAGCTCTAGGGGTCTGAGCATTTCTCTGCCCATCCTGGCACGGGCTGTAATGGTACCAGGTTGAGTAGAAATAAAAAAATCAATTTGAAAACCCCATGTAGAGACTGATTATGATGGGACTCTTCTCACTTTTCAGCTCAAATTGTTAGGCCTCCATTTCCAAGCCAAGGTGCTCTAATGTTGCAAGCATAACATCTCAAAAAAGCAGAATTCACAGGCCCCAGCAATATCTTTTAATAGAACAACTAATACAGCTGGAAATAAATATTCAAGATTTGAGGCACATTATCCTTTCATCATATCTGAAATAGAAGCAGCAAACTTCAAAGCTAATGCAAGTAGAGAACAATTGTTCAGAGTTTAGATATGTTAATCAGACCATTTTATACAGAAGATGGTACTTGTGGAGTACACAAGAGATATTACTAAGGAAAGGAATGAAAAAGAAGTTACCTTGTACAGCAAGGAAAAGAAACATATTCAGAGGGGGAGAGGCATCATCTGCAAACCTCCCTGTTCCCAACAACTGAAGATAAAAATTGCTCCAAAAAGCAATCTATTCCCTTCTAAGGTAGGCTGGATGAGCACGTCATCCCCTCTCTGCTGACTCCAGCAAAACCTCCAGCAATTGTCACCTCGCTGGAGAGGCCACGTGCCAATTGTGCCAGAAAGCAGCATGGCAGAAGCCTGGCTGGCTCTGAGCAGCTGTGTCCCTGTACCTTTGGCCAGTGGCTCCACGGTGATGATCTCGCTGCTGTTGCCTCTTCCCGCAGCCGTCACGGCCACCACCCACACGCTGTACTGGCGATTCCGGCTCAGGTTGGGGATTCTGTAGGAAAATGAGTCGGGAGAGGCTTCAAACTCGCTGATCACCTGTGGTGGGAGAGACAAATGTTTCCAGGCTAAAATAAGCAGTATTTGGAGAAAATGTGAGTGCTACAAAGCCTGTTACTTCAGGGCTCTTCGGATGAGTATCGCTTGCTCCAAACAGATGGCACGTGGCAATAAACAGAGCAGGCACAGGAACTTGTTGCAATCCATTCATATTCAGTGAATTTGTGCCTGTGCCTTGTTTACAGATTGGTTTTATTCAGATTAGGACTTTTATGTGCCATTTATTTTTACAGGGTTGGATAAACAATGGAAATGAATAAATATGCCTAAATTTTACCATCAATAGCTCTGACAAACTGATCTAGCTCTACACAAAACTTTCCCAATGGAGGATTCGGTGCTGCATCTGCTGGGAAACCTGGAGTTCACTATTTCTGTCACCTAGAACCTTTGGTGTTCCTTATTCCTGGGTTTTGGTGGCTTATCCCTTCAGCAGTGGAGTGAACCAAGGAATAAAACTGTGCTGTGTGATAGACTGTTCAAACTTCCCCCAAGCCTAGTTTTGTTTAATCACGAAATTACTTCCATTCAGAGACTCCCAGCTGAAGGTCATCTCAGCCAGTTGGCTGCATTAGCAGGGAAGGACAAGTGCTGGAAGAAATGCCAGTTCAGTCTCTCCTCTGTCACTCAAGTGCCTCGGCCCAAGGGCTGTGGCAGAGCCAACCAGCTGCTCTGCACTCCCTGCTCCTCCACGACAGCTTCTGCATCCTGCTTGGAGCAACCTGGGCAGGGAAAGGTGTGGAGGAACATAGAGATCCCTCCAAGGGGCTTTGGGAGCCTCAGCACATCCTCCACAGGAAGTCTGAGGAGGGAAATCTCAGCTCTGAACAGTGTTACAGCGCTCAATATTGCCACTTTTATTTCTGACATGGGCTTTGTGATGCCTGCACGTAAAAATAGCAGGGTAATGAACCATTGGAATGAATAATACTCACTTCCCTGTGCAGTGCTGAGCCTGGTAACGGCTAACTAACACTAGGCTAAAAATAATTAGAAGGTTAATGACGTAGAAAAGAAGATTTTAGCAGGAATCAGCATTAAAAATAACGCATCAATGTAAATCTAAACTTGGTTCAGACTGACAAAGTGTGCAAGGAAACTCTTTGATATACAAATATCTGCTTGTGGTAAAGGCCAATTCCACCTGATTAGCATTTCAAAAGGCACATTGACCTGAAAACATTGGAATACTAGTCCTTCAAAGTGAATTCCAAACAAATAAGAGATGTTTCTGAGATATCATTAAACACTTCTCCATGTGAACTGGCAGACAGTCTCAGCTGCTGAATGGGCCACTGCACTTCTCTGTTCTTGAGCTGGCATCTCCCACAGCCAGGGGAAGAGGGGAGTTCATCTCCTCTCACATTTGAAATCCAGAGTGAAGACATCTGTCTCCAAGCCAGGCACCTCAGCTCCCTTCAGGGACCATGCAAAGGCTTCTACAAAACACATTTTGTTCCTTCCACGGAGAGTGATTTTCCTGGGAAGACTGGCTTGCTCCAGCTAAGCTCCCCAGGCTCAGAACAAGCCCAGAGGGGGAACTGGCCACATTTTCTAGCCAAACTCATTGCCTCTTTGCTTGTCAAAATGCCAAATTAGTTTGTGTCATTTAGCCAGTGTTTGCCTGGCTTCCCACTTCTGGTATGAAGAGGTCAGTGCAGGCAGACACCTTTTTATTACCTGAAATATTGCAGCAGGTTTTGAGAACCATCTGCCTTGACATTTACACAAGAATATTGGACAAATGCCCATAGCTTGACAGGCTGGATCTCTGTGAGGTCATACATAAAAATTAATGTATTGATCATTGCAGAGGAGGCTGAAATGTAATATTCTTGAGGCAGCATTTCCTGCAGTTAATTGGAAAGTCAAATAGGCCAGGCTGTCTCTGGCACTAAGGCTCCACTCATTAATGCAGTTACCTAGCACAGGTTCCTTCTAAACCACCTACTGACATGGGACATGGATAGAGCATTTAGGAACAGCTAAACATCACAAAATTCCTTAGTGCTAACTTTCATTCCAGCAACCATCAGATCTTTCTCACTGGAACTCCAGAGATGGACAAACAGCAGGATTTTCTGCTCCAAGGCTTTTAAAATGCTTTGTTTTCAACTCCTTTCTTTCTCCCAGCATCACTGACCCATTTGCATCTGTGGCTATTTCAAATGTAAAATCAATTATTCTCAGATTTAATTTATTAATTGAATCTGGTAAATGCATCTTCACTAAATGAACAACTCTCATTTTCTTAAAACAAGCTGCTATAGCAAAAGATTTTGGTTTCTAACTGGTTAACATACATCTTGTGTTTCCTCAGCTCACATTCCCCTTTAAACACTTGGGGATGCTTCAGTGACAAAGAATCGATTTCACTTTAAACTTTTGCCTGTCATTTCAATTAGCCTAACATGCCAGAGACTTTGATTTCACAAGAAGAAAAAAAAGGCAGCTTTGTCAGCAAAGAGAAGATTAAACAATTGAAATAAGAAATATTTAAAGGAATGTCACCTTGTCACATATTGGCCTGTGCATGTGCCAGTATAAAACATAAACTGCTGTTCAATCTTAGAAGCGGTAACATGCTTGCTCAAGGGATTTTTTTTCCTAACTGCTATTTTTTTTTTTCTTTCCAGTTTATAGATGATGGGTTAATTTTTCTTCTGTCTTTAGCTCAATGTCTAAGAAGGAGAGACAGAGATCAGTCTCTGAAATCCAGCAAGGGCTGTGAAGAGTAAAATGAAATCAAAGTCCTTTATCAGGATGCAGTCAATCTACTTCCCCAACCAGGCAATGGCAAGAGATGCTGAGGAACAGCTGGTGCAGGGAACATCAATTTCCTCTGCAACTCCAGCCCTATTGGTGTGCATTTCTTTGTACACTTTGAAGCAGCATGCCATCTCCTGGCATTTCTGACTCCTTGAAAGCACAATTTAAAAGGCATTGTGCATAAACTGATCCCTCTGGCTTCTATTTTTAATTGCTCGTTCTATTTGTTGGCTCGCTTGCTGTGTTTTTTAACACAAGCTGAGAAAAATTCAGAAGAATGCTATAGAAAAAAATACATTTCTAACAGTTTGCCAAGCAGCCAGGGAGATCCCCAAGCAGGGAGTTAAGACAACAAATAGAATTTACCACGGGCTGGAAGGTTATTTAGTGAAAGGTAGCCTGAACCTTGCTTACAGCTGATTCCACACAACTTCTGATTAGATAAGTGAGCTACAGATCTCCATCTCTGCTCTCTGCAAGTTGCAGAAAATCTGGAAATGAACAGGGAAAGACATATAGAGACTCTAAGGACATGAGTGAAAAGGAAGAAACAGCCCAGGTTTGTGGTTTGTGTTGTGAAGTGAAAATACATGTGTATTGGCTGCCTCGTGCTGAAAATTAAATATAAATATAAATAATATTTCAATTACCTAGAGTGGGTATGTGCTTTCACTTCAATTTTAGGTCAAAAATATGGCACCATCTATAAATGGAGCTGAAAGGACTCTGAGAGATCACCTGAGTCTTTCTTTTTTAAACCAGGTTCACCTTGTCTGCACAATTTCAAACAGATGTTTCCCCAACCTGATTTTGAAGACTTGCAATAAAAGGAGATTTTGCAACTCCCTATGCTGCACAACCTATTCCATTGCTTAACTAATCTCATGATTAGAAATAGTTTTTTTTTAATCTAGTTTGAGTTTCCTGCTGCAGTTTCAACCCACAGCTTCTTTTCCAGTCTATTAGGAACATGAAGAATAGATTATTACCTTGATCTCTGCACCAGCCTTTAATCTACATGAAGTTTTATCGTTCCTTTCCCCACCAGTACCCTTATCTTTTTACAACTAAATAACTCTGGTGCTTTCAACATTGTCCAGAAATCCCATTTTCTCTATCAGTTTCTCTAATAATATCTCCTGTTATCCTTCAAACTGTCTAAAGATGGTCCATGGCTTTCTCCTCGTTTCCAAACCTGCACTCAACAATTCCAGGGATTCTCATTTGGCTTTTCAGGACAGGATTATAAAGGCTGTTAATGTTCATCTTGGGAGGCACAATAACCTTAAAATCCTCTTCTGAAGAATCAGGAGAATTGCTCTCTACACAGTACTTTTGCAGCTGGTTATTCAGGATACCCATTTTCTTGCTCAATTTTATCCAACTTTTTCCAGATCCATTTCCTGGTTCATGAAGACCTACCTGAATTCTGCTTCTGTCTCCTGTGTACATGCAACATGCAACCCCTCCCAGCCTTGGATCTCCTGCTAATTTAATAGGCAGCCTCTCTATTTCATTACCTGGGTCAGTAATGGAGCCACTGAGCAGAACTGGGCTCAGGAGAGACACTTAGGCCGCTCTCTCCCGCCCACAACAACGAGCCACAGAACAGCACTAAATTTGTTATATCTGGCCTGAGTTAAATCAATGAAATGGTGTTTGCATAGCTGGGTCCCTCTAAACAAACATCCATCCTCTGGGCTCAGCTCCTCTGCTAAATGGGAGAGAGCCTGGCGTTGCATTGAGCGCTCCATCCCAGTGATCCACACTGATTTTTAACTTGGCTTCTAGCTCAATTTTCTGCTGCTCTGAACAGCTCTTTTCAAAACAATTCTGCTTTGGAGGGGCTTGTGATAAGCAGTGTAGACTGACATCAGTCAGCATCACCTCCTCCTTGAGCCCTCTTTAATCACTGGTGGAGATGAGGCCTAGAACAAGCACTGAGCCTCATGAATAATTAAAGTCTTCATTTCTACATTGTAAAAACACAACAATCTCCATCTTTTTGTACAACTCCATCACAGAACTGTCGACCTCGCCCTACCTCAGGCATTGCTGCTCCTGGAAACCACAGAATCATCAAGGCTGGAAGAGAACTTCAAGTCCTACCATCACCCAGCCCCAGCAGCATCACCCCAAACCCTGTCCCCAAGGGCCACATCCAGACTCCTCCTGAACACTCCCAGAGACAGTGACTCCAAACCTCCCTG